GAAGATTGGACTCTACTGTGGTGAGGTCTTTATACCACACATAAAGCCAGGGTAGTATCTGAAGGTAAAGTGTGTGGTATTGGAGCTGCCAGTCATGTAGTGACCCCAAGGTCTGTTGGAGAATATAATCAACATGAAGAATTAGTGAGTCGAGAGATGGAGAGGCTGAATTAAATGAGCAAATAAATGCCCTTTTTGTGGATGCCTGTTTGGGATGGAATATTTACTCACTGTATTAAGTATAAATTTAACATCTTCAAGTGATACACATTTATTATTCACTTTCAGTGGATCAGGAGTCAAAGTGCAGACTACCTGGGTCCTTTGTTCCAGGTCTCATCGAAGTGAAGTCAGGGTGTCAGCCAGGGTCATGCTCTTAGCTGAGGCTCAGGCCCTCTTCCAAGCTCACTATTAGCTGAACTCTTCCTCTGGTTTGGGATTCCCCTATGAGCTTTCTGCCATTCTCTGCCATGCAGGAAGGCCTGGACCCCCTTCTAGAGGATTAACTTGATTACCTTTGTTATATTGCAAAAGCCCCTCATCTTCGTCATGTAGCATGACATCCTCACCAGGGAAATCTTACATTCACAGGTACCGCCTATAATATACAGGCAGTCATATACACTGAGTGGGAATCATGGGACTCTTAGAAATCCACTTACCACAGAGACCTGACCCATTTCCTTGTGATCTGCACTCAATCTTTTTTCCTTTTTACCATGTGATGTTTTAGATTGAACCCAGGGCCTTGCACATGTTAAGTGCATGTACATTAGGTACAGCATTTCCCTACACTTACTCTTTTTTGCAGTATTAATGATCAAACTCAGGATCTTGCACGTGCTAGACAAGGACTTTCCCAAGTGAGCTCTGCTCCAGCCCCCTGCACTTAAGAATCTGGATTTCTGGGATTTTCCATGTTCTCCCAGTCTTTTAGTTTGTCCCCTCCTTAACATCTCTTCACTTGGTTTTATAGCTTTCTGGTTACTTGTCTCCTATTAAAAAAACAATTCATCATCTGTCACTCCAAGTCCCACCTCAGCCTGGCACAGGTTTGATATTCCCATAAGCAATTGTATGGATAAGTGGAAGTGATTTTTTTTTAAATATTTATTCACAATACCTTTATTTCTCTCATTTTTTTTAAGATAAAGAGATAGGGGGGRGAGAGAGAGAATTTTTAATATTTATTTTTTAGTTTTCGGTGGACACAACATCTTTGTTTGTATGTGGTGCTGAGTATCGAACCCAGGCCGCATGCATGCCAGGCAAAYGGGCTACCACTTGAGCCACATCCCCAGCCCTATTTCTCTCATTTTTCATGTGGTGCTGAGGATCGAATCCAGGGTCCCATGCATGTGAGACGAGTGCTCTGCCACTGAGCCACAACCCAGCCCCATGATTTTTTTTAAGCCATGATCTTTATTTTTTAAATTTTTTTAGCTGTAGATGGACACAACACCTTTATTTATTTATTTTGAGGTGGTGCTGAGGATCAAACCCAGTGTTTCACATGTGCTAAGCAAGCGCTCTACCACTGAGCTACAACCCCAGCCCAGAAGTGGTTCTTACATGGAAGTGAGGATTAATTCTAGATGACCTTGAATGCCTCATCAGTGCTGAAGCACTGCTGTCTAGCTGGTTCCATCCAGTCCTGACTTGAGTGTGGTTCAGGAGGACCTGCCTGGCGTCCCCCTGCACACCTACTTGCCCTACTCTAGAGCCAGAGTCCACTTTCATACTGTACTGCAGGCCATTAGACACTTCTGGTTTCTAGACTCTTAATTCTATATATGGGCTATCTTCTCAGTCTAGAATGTTCTTAACTACATTGTTGATTTAATGTACCCAACCCTCTTTATAAGACATCACCTCCCCAGGTAACTTCATCACCCTCCCCTGCCCCAGTGTGAGCTTTGTTGTCCTTTTGGCTTCTAGACTCTCTAGGTGTCTTCCCCCTTTCCTAGAACTTGTCACCCTTTGTAAGTAAATAAATTTTCTCTCCTAGCAGCCAGGGCTGTCCTGGAGTCCAGAACACAATGAAATTTCAATATTAGGTCCCAGCATAGGCTTGGTCTTGGGTAAGGATAGTGATTATTTGTTACACAAACAACTGAGTTCAGTAATCTCCATGTTTGTTATTCAAGATTTTGTACGATGTTCATGTCCTGGGCCCTGTGGCAGGCCAGCCTAACAGACTCTGGCTCACCTGCAAGCCTCCAAGCCCAGGCCACAAATTCATACCTGATACCTACTCTACTTTCAAAAAGACACAGCATGGGAATAGTGAGCAAAGAAACTAGTATTCTTGGTCATGACGTTCAGAGCTGCATAGTGATGAAGTACAATTAGGCAATGGGCTTCCCAAAATGTGGGGTGCCAACCTGGGACAGGAATTATCTATGAGATACTTGTTCTTCACCTTGCTGAGCACTTGACAGGAGCTTGATGGTCTCTCCCTTTTTCCTGAGAGCTAGCACTTCCTTGTAGTACAGAGGGTAAGGGCTGACTAAGCCTCAAGATGACCATACAACTGATGAGCTCCTAGACTTGCAGTGGTGAGGAAGAGAGGGGCCACCGTCCAGTCACTAGCAAGAATCCAGCTGGCTCACTCTTACTAACTAGCTCAGTAAATTGTAAAGGGAATAAACACTGTAACCCAAAGTGCTTGAACAGGTTATTCCTAAATTGGGATGACAATTCTTCAGGGAGCACTAAACATCTTTTGTTTTATTTTTTATTTTTATTTTTTTTAGAGAATTTTTAATATTTATTTTTTAGTTCTCGGCGGACACAACATCTTTGTTGGTATGTGGTGCTGAGGATCGAACCCGGGCTACCACTTGAGCCACATCCACAGCCCTAAACATCTTTTAATCTCAACAATAGTTTGTAATAAAGATTAGACAAGTCAGACTTCCAGCATTAATATTTTTTGCATTAAGGAATCTGTAAATGTGATACTTTAAATCCTTACAGTTTCTTTAAATCCTTACAGCAGTGGCTGGGGATGTAGGTAAGTGGTTGAGGGCTGGCCTAGCATGTTTTAGGCCTGTGTTTGTCCCAGAAGAAAAAAAAAAGATAAATTCTTATAATGCTTAAGATAATTCAAGAATTTTAACATTCTTGGGGTAGTAATTACAAATGTGTATTTAGATAATAGATTTACACTTGTGACTTAAATTGAAATTTTAAGTTTGTATTGACACATTTTGCATGCCTATAATCCCAGCAACCCAACCCCCAGAGGCTGAGTCAGGAGGATCTCAAATTCCAGGCCAACCTAAGCAACTTTTTGAGCCCCAGTCTCAAAAGAAAAAGGCCTCCCGTATGTAGCTCAGTGGGAAGGGCTCCTGGGTTAAATCCCCTGTATAACTCCCCCTCCACCCCACCCCCGCCAAAAAAAAAAAAAAAAAGTTAAAAGCCTAGCGTGGTGGTCCCCACCTGAAATAATCTCGCCACTCCAGGCCCAATCAGGAGGCTAGCAAGTTCCAAGCCAGCCTCCAAAAACTTAAAAAGACACTGACTCAAAATACAAAAAGGGCTGGGGATACAGCTCAATGGTAAAGTGCCCCCTGGGTTCAATCCCCAGTTCCAAAAAGAAAAAAAGAAGAAAAGGAAAAATTACATTTTGGGAATTTATGATTTTAATGAATATTAACTTTAAAAGTCAAAGTAAACTTCAGAGTAATCTTTTCCGCTCATGAGGACCCTTTAAAAAAGGACTTAACCATGTACTAGTGAAGCCAGATTTAAAGATAGGTACTTAGTGTAGTTAGGTAAATGGGGTCTAATAGCTAGTAAAATCAAGAATGAAGGCCACATTGAGAATAGAGTCCAGGAAATGGGGAATTGAAAATGTCCACAAGGCCCAGAGCCCATCCCAAGGAAATGTTAATGAAGCAGCCGTCCCTGCCCAGATTACTCCTTAAACTCACCTGTCCCCCACCTTCCCACCTATATTCCATCACTGCAAAATAACAGAACCAAGGACAGGAATTCGGGAAAGCTGAAAGAACACCTTAGCTATAAAAGAGGGAAGACCTCCCCTTTCCACAGCGTCCACTCTTGGGTCCCCTTCTTCCTCAGGGGAGAAGTCTTTTCTGCTGTCCTTTAATAAAGCTTTTACTTTCCACTCTAAACTTGCCTCGGTGTGCTTCTCTGGTGTTATACTTCATCATGGGGAAGCAGGGACTCCTCACGGGGTAAAACAGTGGTAACACTAGTGAACCCTGAAACCGGGACAGGACGGGACAGACATGAAATCAGGAGGAGCCAGTAATAAGTCTCACCATTTTTTGGTGGAGGTTGGACTATGAGAGTTTTCAAGCAACTTGAATCATGAGGACTTCATACTCTGCGTTGGAGATTTGGGAAGTGGGGTATTTCTGGCCATTACAATATCAGAGGTGTGATTGGGTGAGTAGCATTGCAGAAGAAGGAGTGCAAGTGGAGATGAGAAGGAAATCAAAGACCAGAGAAGCCAGTGTTATTTTGGGCAACTCAAGGCGGGAGCACTGTTCCAATAGCTGTATTCATGGCGACCCCTTGTACTGTGCATTGCGCGGCTTGCGGAGCCGTCAGCAATGGTCCTGCTAAACCCTGAAGTACTCAAATGCATAGAACAGGAGTTTGCGCGGGAAAGCGACACTAGAGGTAAAGTCCTCGTTAAGCAAAATAGCTCGTAATTATTCAGTACAGTATTTACCACGTGGGTAATGGTCTAAGCACAAGCACAATAATATTCTCACCACTACCATTCTAGACATTATAAAAGCCAAAGAAATGACAAAATCCGATCCTGAACACACGAGGTCAAAAGGCCACGCACCACAGTTGGAATTCAAACAATTCCTCAGCAAGATCCCTGCTCTTTCCCCACCACCAGCGCCCGCCGCCCAGGGCGCAGGCGCGCGTGCTCCGCGACCGTCGCCCGCCCCTGCGTGTTGTAGGGTCACGTGCCGGCGTGGGGCGGGGCCACCTGCGCGCCTGCGCGCCGCGGGCTGACGAAACCAAGCCTATCCCACGTAGTGGGCGCAGCGTCCTGCGGCCAGAGTCGCGTCTCCTTACGGGTCCGACACCAGCCGGGGCTCGGGCCGGGGCCCGGGCCCCCGGGACATGGCCCTCCGGCGTGCGCAGGGCGACGGCCTCACCTCCAGCCGCTGGGTCGGCGGCGCCGACAGGGCAGGTACGGAAGCCCGCCGGGGCGCGGGGGAGCGGCCTCCGAGGACGGCCTGAGGGGCCAGAACCGGGTCAGAGGAGCGGGCCGAGGGCGGGGTCGCGGCGCTGGGAGAGGAAGGGGGCGAAGGACCTGGCTCACGTCAGAGGGGGAGAGGGCCTGGAACTGGCGAGTCCTGAGCCGTCGGAGGAAGAGCCCTGGCGGGGAAGGTCCGGGGGCCGTACGCTGCGGCCTCCGGTACCCCGGGAGAGGAGGATTGGGACTCCCGAGGGCTGAAGCCAGGCCTCACCCCGGCCCGCGGCTGCCGGGCCACGTCCGCAGATTCTGGGGCTTCCTTCCTGGTTGTTGGGCAGGTTTCCCAAACTTCACTCGGACCGACCGGACTGAGGCGTTCCTCACGTATCTTTAAAGTACCATAGAATTCCCCCTTCTAAAGCGTCGAGTTCAGTGGTTCTTGGTTCTCTCGCAGAGCTGCAGGCACCGCCACTGTCCAGTTCCGGACCTCTGGTTCCAAAAGAAACCCTTGTCCGTCAGCAGTCACTCCCCGTTCCCCCGTCGACGCACTCCCGGCAACCGCTCCTCTCCTTGGCGCTCCTAATCCTCCCTTAACGTTATTTAGTTGTGTAGAAAGCGATTCTGCTTTTTATACTGTTTCAGTCTAGTCAGTGCTTTCGGTGAAATCATGGTCTTGTAGCACCTGTTCCCAAGACACCTTCCATACCATAAATAGGTGGTAGTTAAAATTATGAATGTTTACCCTGCATCAAGTGAAATCTTTTTCCCCTCTTGGGAAGGCTGAAGTAGCTATCCTCCTTTCCCCTCTTCTGATGAGTGGTGCCCTAGATAGAACAGTGGTATTTTGATGAAGTTCCTGGTATCCACATCATGTTTCTAGGGCTCAATTTTCTGTTATCCCTCTTTTCTTTTGGTTGGAACTGGAGCTCACTACACATGTTAGTTTTCTGGGGTCTTTGTCGTTGCAACATTTTGCTGGTGTTTGTGTGACATCTATCCTCATGGCATAATAGTCAATGTCCCAAGCAGCATGGGTTATGTGACCTGTTGCAGTGCAACTGAATAAAAGACTCACCTCCTTCTGTATCCTTGACTTTGCTTCTTTGGATGAAAAGGAGGAACTTAGAGATGAGGGGCTTGGGGGGAGGGTGTTTGTTTTGGATTTTTTTTTTTATTCATATTGGAGAATTGTTGACAAAAGTTACTAATGCTAGAAGCTGCCTTTGTAAAGGATGGTTAGATTAGTTTACTAGACTATCATTCTCAGTTGTTGGAGTAAAGCACCTTTTTTTTTTTCCTTTCTTTCTTTCTTTTTGGTGTTCTTAACCACTGAGCCACATCCCCAGCCCTTTTTTGTACTTTATTATTTAGAGACAGGGTCTCACCAAGTTGCTTAGCACTTTGCTTTTGTATTGTGCATTTACCACACTATTCAAACTGTATGCCTAAAAACTAGCAATTTTATTATATATAAATGTTACTGTAACAATTGTTAAATGTACTGTTTGGTTGGGGTTGGGGGCTTTTGTTTGCTTTGTGCTCCTTTTTATTTTTTATTTTGAGACAATGTCTTGCTAAATTGCTGAGCCTGGCTCTGAACTTTCCATCCTCCTACCTGAGCCTCCCAAGTCCCTGGGATTACAGGCATGAGCCCCCATGTCCAAAAGCATCTTTTCTTGATGCCTTTGTTATGGTTCAGATAGTTAATGAATCTCCTCTTGTTTGGATACTGTTTTCTAGAAACTATTTAGGACTGCCAAAGACAGAAGCTACTATATTTTATTTTATTTTTAATGGGAATCTCACCCAGAATAAGATATTATTTTCCCCTTCCATTGTCTGTCTCAGGTACAGACATGAAGTCTGAGCATAAATTTTCAAATTAATTTCTCATGTCCATATTGGGAGTTCAGGGTAAGTATAGGGAATATCTCTGAATAGGAGAATCTCTCTCCCTCACCCTCTCCCTCTCCTTTACTCTTCCATTGTGATTGAAGCTATCATTTTTGAGTTTAGCTTCAGTTTAAAGACTAAAGTTTTCTGGATATGCAGGCATATACTAAATAATCAGTATGGAATTTTGTGCTCTTGCATAAGCTTCTGTTTTACAAGTATGTATGTAGATCACTTACCAGATTCAAGTCACTAATTATTTTAGGGCTCTGATTAAAAACTCTTAAGAGGATTCATAAGTGTGGTCATCTTTAGTCATGGCCCTTTCCCTCTATATTAAATTCCTGAAGCCAGGGACTTTTGGAGATACCTGTTACTCTAAGGAGGCAGAAATCTATACCTGGGTTCTGTAGCCAGTGTTGGGAGACACCTCAGACAGTAATGGGCCCAGCCATCTTTATCTGAACTGTTAAGAAATACTGCTTCAGTGGCCCTTATTTTAATAGAAAACAGGCCAAAGTATGCCTGTATCATTTTTCCTTGTTGAATGAATTGCTTTTCAGGCACTAGGAATTTATTTATAGCAGCTGTAGGCAATCATTTCACTCTATCATGGTTATGATAGCCAAGTCCTCTACTACAGAAGAATTTAAAACATATCAGCTTTGGAATATATACAATACACCTTTCTTATAAGTGAGGCAGTAAGTTGGAGACCAGAGGATTCAGGGAGATTAGAATGACATCAGTGATACCTTCAGATGAAATGTGGGCTTTAATATCAAGCCAAAATACAGCATGATCAAGTCCAAAAATATGTGTCCTACCCTAAAATCTATACATAAAATTTACCTTTAAATAAAATAGATAGTAGGCATTCATTTCAGTCTTTTTCTTTAACATCCAAGAATAGCTCTGTGATTTTTTTTGCTTTCTTAGATAAAAACAATGTGTGTGAAGTATTTGTTCAGTGAAGACCCTGCTAAAACTTTTTGTAATGCAGTAATTGACCTTCTCACCTTGGAGTTTATGTATCTCTAGCTCATTGAATTTTGTTTTATCTTTCTGTATCACAGTGAGAGAGTATACATTTGATGCAATAAAATATCCATGGGGGTGGTACATGTAGGAGTGCCTTCCTCATCTGCCACTGACATTTAACCACTGGAATGTGGGGATAAGGAAGGCAGTCTTGGGGCTTGAAATAGCGGCCACAATCCACATTTGAGCAGCATACTAGGAGCTTTATTTTATTTTTATTGCTTCTTTTTTTKGGGGGGCACCAAGGATTGAACTCAGGGGTCCTTAACGACTGAGCCACATCCCCAATATGCATGCATGTCTGTCTGTTTGTCTTTCTTTCTTCCTTTCTTGTTATGCTGGGAATTGAACCCAGGGTCTTGTGCATGTGAGGCAAGCACTCTACCAACTGAGCTATATTCCCAGTCCTAGTTATTTATTTTGAGATAAGATCACACTAAGTTTCTTAGGGTCTTACAGAGTTGTGATGCTGGCTTTAAACTTGCAGTCCTCCGGCCTCAGCCTCTGAAATTGTTGAGATTGCAGTTATGCACCATCACACTGGGCCTTGGGAGCTTTAGAAACAAACCAGAGTGCTGGATATGGTGGTATATGCCTGTAATCCCAGTGGTTTGGGAGGTCTGAGGTAGGAGGACTGTGAGTTCAAAGCCAACCTCAGCAATTTAGTGAGGCCCTAAAAAATCCAGCAATACCCTATCTGTAAATAAAATATAAAAAGGGCTGGGGTTATATAGCTCAATGGTTAAGCATCTCCTTTAATCCTGAGTACCAAAGAAAAAATAAATAGACCAGAATCTACAATTTATATTTAGAATTCTACAGTGAGCATACTAACAGTAGTATAGGAAAAGTATCATATACTTTAGGCCAATTTTTTCCAGGGGAACAGTAACTAAGTAACTTATTCAATGTCCACACATTTATGGATTTCCTACAGAGTGGCAAAAACAGGAAGATACTAAATTTTGAAATGCTGGATTAAAAATAGAATCAGTGCCAGGACTGTAATCCCAGTAGTTCTGGAGGTTGAGACAGGAGTATCTCAAGTTCAGAGCCAGCCTCAGCAACAGCAAAGTGCTAAGCAACCCAGTGAGACCCTGTCTCTAAATAAAATGCAAAATAGGGCTGGGGATGTGGATCAGTGGTCAAGTGCCCCTGAGCTCAATTCCTGATACCAAAACAAACAATCAAAACAGTATTAAGAGAAACAAGTGGTCAGACACAGCCGTGCATACTTGCTATGCCAGCAGTTTAAGAGACTGAGGCAGGAGGATTGCAAGTTTGAGGCCGGCCTGGGCAACTTAGACCCTGTCTCAAAATAAAAAGGGCTGGAGATATAGTTTAGCAGCAAAGCACCCTGAGTTAAAAGTAAAAAATAAAAAAGAGTGAAAATAAGTATTAGAGCCAGGATTTTGGTTCAGAATTAGTTAACACTCTGACAGATTTTTTGCCAAAACCTCACAGAAATCCAGCTGATTACAAACAGTGTTCTCCCTGAAATATAAGCAGCAGTTTTCCTTTTCCCCAATTGCTGAATAGCCTACTTGGAAAGAGGAGTGGGGGTGGAATATGTCTAAACAAACTGAGGAAAATTACCCTATGCTTAACAAAGGGGGCAATGCAGTTTCTAAATGTCAGCCTCCCTCAAGTAATACTCAGTATTACCATGTAAGTGCTCTTAACTTGTGGTGTACGGAAAGTGCAAGAATACACAAGTAAAAAAAAGTTAGATTTTTTTTCCTTGTGGAAATTAATTAAATTCCTGTACTTATTTTGTCTCGGCCTGTGTTGACATATAAAAAGTCTTCTTGGCGTCTGAGGATGTGGCTCAGTGGTAAAGCCCTTGCTTACCAACCTCAAAGCCTTGGGTTCAATCCCCGGTACTGCCAAAAAAAAAAAAAAAAAAAAGTTTCTAAAAAGTCTTCTTGAGCTGGCATGTAGCTCAGTGGTAGCATGCATGAAGCCCTGGGTTCCATCCCTAGCCAGGGAAGAAAGGCGGAGAGTCTTCTGTTTCCTGTATGCCTGTGACCCCTCTGAAAACATTCAGCCTCTTCTTCTAAAGGAGGAAGTCCCTGCAGGGTGTTAACCAGACTTCCTGCAGGTTGAGTACAGCCTGACCTTGATTAGCCTCACTTCCTTCAGTGCCCCTACTTCTGCACTCTTCCTGTACCCAACTCTGCCACATGTCAGAACTCCTCTGTTTCCCAGACATGCTGTTGGTGTTTAGTTCATGTGACAAGGTCTTTGCACATACTCTTTCCTCTGCCAGGAATACTTTCCCTTCAACACACTCTTCTGTGTGGCCATGTTTTCAAGAAGATACCAGACTATTCTTGGTGAAGCCTTTCCTCATTGTCTCAGAAGTAGTCATTCTTTCTTCTAGGTTTTTATAATCCTTCATGATTCTGTAATATCCTATGTAATAATTGTGTTCCTCTCTACAATGATATACTAAAGGTCTGAGTGGGAGACATATTAATCTCTTTATTCAGTACAGTGCTTAGTACAGATAGTCACTCATTAAATGATGGACTGATGGGTGGGTGAATGGATGGAAGGAAGGAGGTAATGAACCCAAGGATAGACACACCAGAGCTAAGAGCTTGACACACCTCATAAACATTTAATTTGCTGACAGAGGGAATTGGGGACTTGATTTTTCATGATTTCTGGGTAAAGCAGCCATTAAATTTAGTATCCAAACTGGGCCAGTTTTGCAGGTTGCAAGAGGAGTTAGCTGTGAACAGCTACATCAAGACTCCAGTTGTAAATCAGGAAGATCTCAGACAAATGATCACCCTCCTAGGCTATATCATTGTTGTTAGGAGAATAACAATAGTTTGGCCAAGATAACAGGGTACCTGGCAAAAAGTCACTTCTGTGGGCTGGGGATGTGGCTCAAGCGGTAGTGTGCTCACCCGGCATGCATGCGGCCCGGGTTCGATCCTCAGCACCACATACAAACAAAGATGTTGTGTCCGCTGAAAACTAAAAAATAAATATCAAAAAATTCTCTCTCTCTAAAAAAAAAAAATGATCTGAACCTGGCACCTAAGTCCAATAGACAAATGTACACAAACTTAAAAAAAATAATAATAAAAATAAATAAATAAATTTTAAAAACAAATGAATTTATTTTAAAAAAAAAAAAGTCACTTGTGTTATTTTACTGTCTGCAACTTCAGTGGCATGTGACCCCAGTCCTCTATTTGTGTGGTTTATATGGCACAGCTCTCACAGGCTCCTAGTACCAGTTCCCATTTCTGTTAATAATGTGCAACTTTCTCATGGAGACAGTTTGAGAAAGACTTTTGTCTCAGAATAGAACATTGCTGAGGAAACCTGCTTAATGACCTTTCTGAAGTCTAACCTTTCTTTCAATGTTACCTTCCTTCTTACATTAACTCTAGAGCCTTGTATCTAAAATTTATTCCATAATATTTTTTAATGAATCCGTTTGCTATCCAATAAGAAGCCCTATATGTATGTTCAAACCTTCTATTCTCTACTAAATCCTCTTCTTAAGTTATGCTTCTTGGCCTGACTTGTTAAAATCACTTTTGGGTTCTTGGCCTTCACTGTCTGTGTACACCTTTTTTTTAAAAAAAAAAATTATAGGACAGTGCCTTGTAACATTTGATGTTGTCTTATTTCACTTTTCTTGTGTTTTGTTTCGTTTTCTCAGTGGTACAGGCAAAAGAAAAGAATCTAAATATACCCATCATTCATTTAACTTCAGCTAGCTATTCTAAAAGTAGCTATTCGTTTGGATACAGTGGTGCATGCCTGTAATCCCAGCAACCCAGGAGGCTGTGACAGGAGGATTGCAAGTCCAGCAAGATCCTAAGTAATTTAGCAAGAGTCTCTCTTGAAATAAAAAAGGGGCTGGGATGTAGTTCAGTGTTAAAGTACTCTTGGATTAAATCTCCAATACCAAAAAATATATAAAATAAGCCATCTGCTTGAAAATTCTAAGATCCTATGACCCCATTATTTTAAATAGAAGACTAATAGTGACAGATATCAACCATAAATTCCCAACCTATATCCTAAAAAGTAATGTAAACACAGTAAAATGCCTGTAAATAACAGACTATCACATAAGAATGTAAGATGCTTAAAACATTACTTTCTGATCACCAGTAATTTATGTGGTTGTTGAGAAATGATTGCTTTGTGTGCAATCAATATCTCTAACCTCCAGCCACACTAGAAATCCTAGTACCCTTTGACAACTGTTGCTTCTGAAACTGTCTCCGCGTGATTCTGATGTTCACCAGTTATATTAACTGGTATATGTAAAAACTGATATGTGTAACTGGAGACTTCTCTGTGATTTTGTTAAAAATGTAGTATTGAGCTTCACACAGTAAAACACGCCTATAATCTTAGTGATTCAGGAGGTTGAGGCAGGAAGATGGCAAGTTCAAGGCCAGCCTTGGTAACTTAGCAAGACCCTGTCTCAAAAAATAAAAAGAACTGTTGGTGCATGCCTGTAATCCCAGCAACTCAGGAGGCTGAGGTAGGAGGATTTCGAATTCAAAGCCAGCCTCAGCAACCTAGCAAGGCACTAAGCAACTCAGTGAGACACTGTTTCTAAATAAAATACAAAAAAGGAGCCAGGCACAATGGTGCAGCACCTGGGGAGGCTGAGGAGGAGGATCACAAGTTCAAAGCCAGCCTCAGCAAAAGTGAGGCACTAAGCAACTCAGTGAGACCCTGTCTCTAAATAAAATACAATATAGGGCTGGGGATGTGGCTCAGTGATTGAGTACCCCTGAGTTCAATATCTGGTACCAAAAAATGAAATAAAATAAAAAGGACTGGGAATGTAGCCCTATGGTGGCATAGTGCTTCTGGGTTCAATCCTTAGGACTGCAAAACAAAACAAAACAAATGTGTATTGGGGCATTATAGAACCACACCCTGAGCTACACCCCCAGCCCTAATACTTAGAGGGTTTTATTTTTTGTTTTTGTTTGGTTTTTTGGGGGGTTTTTTTAGAGGAGGGAAAGTTTATTTGGTGCTCACAGTTCCAAATGTCTCAGTCCATAGATGGCTAACTCCATTGCTCTGGGCCTGAAGTGAGGCAGAGCATCATGGTGGAAGGTTATGGAGGAGAAAAACAATTTGGGACATGGGAGTCAGAAAGCAGAGAGCTAGGATTGAGTTTTGAATTACCTTTTTCCTACATAAATGATAGGAAATTTTTCCTAAATTGAGATATGAGTGTTCTTTGAAGTTTGAGTACTAAGAAAGAACAGGAAAACATTGCCACTGACTGATAAGCCTGAATTTACTGAACATTTATTATAATTCTGATTCCTTGCTTGTTACTTATATATCTCAGTAGAATCTTACACATCATGTGCTACATAATTATTCATGGTTTGATTTTTTTTTTAAATCTCTGCTGTTTTAGAATGAGGAAGTTAACTAATATTTAGTAAATATCACTGTGATCATTGTGACTGTCCTGACAGATTGGTGTTAACCCTGAGGACCAGAGAGGTGAAATAATCTGCTCAAAGTTATTTGAAGGGATAAGTGGCAAACCTAGATGTGAACCATGATCTGTCTAATGTTAACACATTCTTTTTTTCTGTCTGATGTTAACGCATTCTTTTTTTCTTTAAAGAAAGATGCTCTGTTCCTATGATCATTGGTTCTAACCTATAGAATAAATCACCTTCTAAAAAGTAGTGCACACCTGTAATCCCAGCTACTGAGGAGGCTGAGGCAAGAAGATTTCAAGTCTGGGGTCAGCCTTAGCAATTTAGCAACACTCTATCTCCAGAAAGGGAGAGGTAAGGTAGGTACCTCCTGTTAGACAGGAGGGAATGCAGCTCAGTGGAGAACGCTTGCCTAGCATGCATGAAGCCCTGGGTTTAATCCCCAGTACCAAAAATGAAATAAGTAATTTTTAATTATTTTATAATGAGTGCTCCCCCACAGGATTAAAAGCACTTGGCATGAAATTTTGAGTGTCTCTGTCCATGAGATTTAAATGACAGCTTCTAACAGGAGGTACCTACCTTACCTCAAACCAAATAAGGAGAGGGAGCCCCAAGCAGAAAACTACACGTGCTGAATGTAAGCCTCACATTCCCCACATACACCTTTTTTTTTTTTTTTTGTAATTTCAGGCTTTAGTGCCAAAAGGAAGAAGAAAGTGGCAGAGATATATCAGGCTCTGAACAGTGATCCCACTGATGTGGCTGCCCTCAGACGCATGGCTATCAGTGAAGGAGGTCTCCTGACTGATGAGATCAGACGAAAAGTGTGGCCCAAGCTCCTCAATGTCAATACGAGTGACCCACCTCCTATATCAGGTAATGGGGTAAGGGCACAGGAGGTGGGGAGAAAATAATACTGGGATCCTTGGTTTTTATGATCAACCAAGAGTAGATGAGTAAATCAAAAACATTTTAGGAAATCCTTGAGCCCACTCTGAAAATAAGTTCAGACTGATGAGTAGAGTCTTATTCAAAACTGGAATGAAGCCAGTCAAGGTCACACACATCTATAATTCCAGCTATTGGGGAGGCTAAGGCAGAAGGATCACAAATTAAAGGCCAGCCTGGGCATCTTAGCGAGGCTCTGTCTCAAAACAGAAAGGGATGGGGATGTAACTCAGTGGTAAAGCGACTCTGAGTTGAATTCCTAGTACCAAAAAAAAAAAAAAAAAAGGCATTGCTGTATTCATACTCTCAGTTCTGGGATGAAATTCTTCTGTCAGATTCCAGACTTCCCATGTCTCCTGATAAGATGGAATCAGTGTGTGGAAATTTACACAGCTTCCTCTCATACTTCTGATTTAGGTTGCAAAGGAAATCTGTGCTTATTATAGCACTTGTTATGGCTTGAGGGAAATGGTACCCTTGTGTATATAATAGCAAGAAAATACTGCTGTTTTCTTGAACTAGTTGGACTTACCAACCAACTGACCACAAGTTCTGTCTCTTGTTTGCAGTATCCTAGTTTTAGAATTTCAGGGTTGAGGGGTGTCAGGTTCATCTTTGTCTGAGTTTACTCCTTCTGAACAGCTCAGGATGCCTACGATCTTATAGATGTTGGAATTTTTTTCATTGGTCTATGACTTCCACATTCATAATTTTATTCAGTACTTTTAGTAACCTGAAAGGTACAAATGGAAGGGAATATCATCATTTTGTACACATGGGCTATTCTCTGGTAATGCTCAGTGGCAGCCTGCACAGACCCAGGCCTCCTGACTTTTCTGGTGCTGTCTCCACCCCACTGTGGACAGTCTGTTCATGACTTGCATTAAACAGTATGTGTTTGTCCATACATGATGAAATATGCCTATAATCCTAGCCAGTGACTCAGGAAGCTGAGGCAGGAGGATCACAGGTTCAAGGCCAGTCTCAGAATTTAGTGAGGCCCTAAACCACTTATTGATACCCGACTCAAAACTAAAATAAAAATGACTGGGAATGTAGCTTAGCAGTAAAGCAGCCCTAGGTTAATCCCCAGTACCAAAAAACAAAAACAAAAAAAGAAACACTCGGGGCTGTGATCGTGGCTCCGTGGTAGAGTGCTTGCCTGGCATGTGTGAGGCCCTGGGTTCGAATCTCAGCATAAATAAAATAAATATAAATAAAATAAAGGTCCATCAACAATTTAAAAAATATTAAAAAAAAAAAAAAAAGAAACACTCCAGCATGCATTTAAAATTGAGTAGGGATTCCCTTCCACATATATCTGGAATTGTATACTTTTCAGGAAAAAGCTGCATTGTATCCACCAGGGCTTTGACGTTATTCCAGAACATTTCCTTATATGACTTCCCAGACATTCCTGCAGTAACACGTTCTTTTTCCAATAGGAAAGGACCTACGTCAGATAAGCAAGGACTACCAACAAGTGCTGCTGGACGTCAGGCGGTCTTTACGGCGGTTCCCTCCTGGTGAGACGCTCTTCCTTCCTTTGGAAGTCTTTCTGCCCTGTTGCACTTCCCTCTTGTGTTGGTGCTTGCCAGTCTGAGGACTTTCCATCCAGCCCACAAAGGCCCAACATGTAGGACCCTGCTTCTCAGGCATTTGGGGTGCTTTCAGTCTGCTGAGTCATTCTTTTGATGACTGGGCCACCATCAAGCCTTCTTTGTGAAAGCCTAAACCTGACATAATGTTTCTTGGCCTGGAGGTGGTAATGAGAGAAGAAGAATTTTTTTTGATCTTTTTTTTTTTTTTTTTTTTCCTTCATGCCACAGAGAGGACTTTAGAGATTGGTAGAGCCATCAGTCTGGCTTTAGAGAGCAAATTGTCTTAAATTGGATACTAATAAGAACTGTTAATATCATCATCTAACTAGATTTTTAAACATACATGTATTAGGTCCCTTGGACTAGAGGGGAGGCCATTCCCTTCATGTTCATAGAATCTATTCTTAAAATTGCCTCCCTTGGCTGGGGCTATAGCTCAGTTGGTAGAGTGCTTGCTTTGCATGCACAAGGCCATAGTTTCGATTTCCAGTACCACCAAAAAAAAAAAAAAATGCCTCCCGCTTCTCAGGAAGAAAGAGAGGGATCCTTTTCATTTCCATTTTCACAAGGAAGGAAGTTGGACAACAAACCTTATATATATGACCTATTTCTCTTCCTCTAATTACTCCACTTGGAAGTCCCTGGAGAGAGGAGAGCTGCTGAAGGGAACTAGAGCCTCTAACCCTGTTTTTCACTCATCTGAAACCAAGCTCTAGCTTGGATTTGTCTGTTAGGGTCTTCTTTTCTGCTTGTATCCATGTTCTCTAGAGAGGCCCTTGTGACTCCCTTGTAGCCAGTAGCCTGCTAACTTTGGTTTTCTTCTTGTTGTTGTTGTTGTTTTCCTGTACTGGAGTTTAAACCCCAGGGCTCTCTACCACCAAGCTGTATCCCCAGCCCTTTATTTATTTATTTATTTATTTATTTATTTTAATTTTTGAGACCGGGTCTTGCCATTTTGCCAAGGCAGACCTCAAACTTGTGATCCTCCTGCCTTAACCTCCCAAGTAACTGGGATTACAGGTGTGTGCCACTGTGCCCAGCTCTAACTTGGTTTTGTTTTGTTTTATATTTATAGATTGACACCATGCTTTTATTTTGTTTATTTTTGTATGCAGTGCTAAGGACGGAATCCAGTGCCTCACACATGCTAGGCAAGTGCTCTGCCATGGAGCTACAGCATCAGCCCTTGGACTTGGTTTTGATAAGATTTGTACCCATGATCCAGTCCCTTTTTCCTACTTCTTAGTCCAAATGAGACCTCTCCGAGCGGATGGCTTCCCTTGCCTCCCCTAGTAAACTGCTTTTCCTCTGAGCCCTCTGTTCCTCTTCCATTGTGTCACTTCAGTCTGTGCTGCTCTGGCAGGCTGAAGTTTTGTTGTGGCTTTGTGGTCTTTTCCATTCGTTTTCCGCTGGGCTTGGCTGAAAACTCTTCACTTTGGAAATTCAAATTGGGTTTAGTTTTGACTCTTACTGCTTTGATTATTTTACCTATCCATAGTTCTTGGTTTCTTTTTTTGTTGTTGTTGTTTTATTGTTTGAAATATGACTTTTTTTTGAGACGTGGTGGAGGAAATGTGGGCATGAGGTAAGCTTTACTGTCACCTTGCACCTTTTGTTCAGTGGGATCTGAGCCCTTAAGTGAGCTGTTTTCTCCCATATCGGTTTTTAACAGTGAAAGTTAAGCTACTACTATATTTATAACTCAAACTTCGGGAATTCAAAATTAGCATCTTGCCTGTGAGCTTATTTTTTAGTTTTAGATGGACACAATATCTTTATTTTATTTTTATATGGTGCTAAGGATCGAACCAAGTGCCTCACGCATGCTAGGTGAGCGCCCTAACACTTGAGCCACAGCCCCAGCCCGTAAGCATCTTAAACCTGAGTTGTGCTCTTGTGTTCCACATTGTTCTGTCAAGCTTTGTCAGAGTGAACCTTTATGAGCAGCAGCCTGCTGTCCAGCTTCAGACAGAGTCTCTTACCCATGTCAAGGGTCACAGCCTGTACGGCTGTCCACATGCAGCTCTCAGGACATTTTTGCTTGTTTTTCCTATGGCTTTTTCAAATTGGCTTAGGTGCAGTTGTCCTCTGATCATGCTTCCTGCTGAGCTTTATCTTAAGTTCACAGACTAACCAGGGTTGGATTTTCTGGAAAGTTTTCAGCAGAACTAGATCAAAGATTGTGATAGCTTTCTGACTAAGGCCCACTTTAGTCTCCTTGGCTATGGTGGCATTCAGCTCCCTTAGCTGAGCCTTGAGGTCTAGCTGGATTCATCTCTTGCTCCTGAACTGCCCGAGAGATGCAGGACTCAAACCTACTGGGCTTCTCACCTTTGGGCTGTAGTCTTGCCATTCCCGCTGAGCACAGCCCTCCCCTGGCTGCTGGCTTAGGGGGACAGTTCAGCACTCTTAACACTAAACACCCAGATGAGTGAGGAGTTTGCTGACCACTGCGGACTGGCTTCATCCTCTGAAAGAGCTCTGGAGACAGGCGCCCCCGTTTCTAAGTATATTTTCGGGTGGAGGAGATCAGTCTTCCCTGGAATATTGATTTAGTTTAGAGGGGAATAWGCAGCTTTTTCAATTTTTAATTTATAATTTCATTCCAAAAAGTTGCAAAAGTAGGACAAAGAATTCTCCAGATACGTTTTACCCAGATTTCCTTATGTGTTTTACCACATTTGCTTTATTAACTCTTTGCTATTCTTTCCTTCTTTATACATAGAAATGAATTTTTTTCTGAACTATTATTTAAGAGTACAGTGGGATCCTAATTAGAAAAAGTTATACTCCATGTATAATATGTCGGAATACACTTTACTGTCATGTTCTCTAAAAAAAATTAATATTTAAGGGCTGGGGATGTGGCTCAAGCCTGGCATGCGTGCGGCCCGGGTTCAATCCTCAGCACCACATACAAACAAAGATGTTGTGTCCACCGAGAACTAAAAAAAATAAATATTAAAAATTCTCTCTCTCTCCTCTCTCACTCTCTCTTTAAAAAAAAAAAAAAATATTTAAAAAAAAGAAGCTGGACAAGCACAATGTAGCAAGCCTATAATCCCAGCAACTCAGAAGGCTGAAGCAAGAGGATCAAAGCCAGTCTCAGCAAAAAGCTAGGTGCTAAGCAACTCAGTGAGACTCTGTCTCTAAATAAAATATTTAAAAGGCCTGGGGATAGGGCTCAGTGGTCAAGTGCCCCTGAGTTCAATCCCGGGTACAAAAAAAAAAAAAAAAGCCAGGTGCCACGGTGCATGCCTGTAATCCCAGCAGCTGGGGAAACTGAGGCAGGAAGATCATGAGTTCAAAGCTAGAGTCAGCAAAAATGAGGCACTAGGCAACTCAAGTGAGACTCTGTCACTAAATAAAATACAAAATAGGGCTGGGGATGCAGCTCGGTGGTCGAGTGCCCCTTGGGTTCAGTCCCCCGTATCAAAAAAAAAAAGTTCATCATAAACATGGTCCCTCTTTAACCAAACTATTTCAGGATGTAGTTCTAAAATTAAGGTTCTCACCAAATCAGTGGCAACATTGAAAAATACTGTTATCTAATCCAATCTAATTTTTGAGATTTCACCATCTCACCACTTATCCTTTATAGGAAGAGGAAATACAAATTCACCCATCTCCCATTCAGCCATCATCTCTTTAGCCTTTTTTTTTTCAGGGAGGAAGTATAGGGATTGAACTCAGGGGCACCTGACCACTGGGCCACATCCCCAGCCCCTTTTAGTATTTTATTTAAAGACAGGGTCTCACCAAGTTGCTTAGCACTTTTCTTTTACTGAGGCTGCCTTTGAACTTGCTGTCCTCCTATCTTAGCCTCCTGAGCTGCTGGGGTTAGAGGCAAGTGCTACTGCACCTGGCTTCTTCAGCCTCTCTTAACCTGTAGCAGTTCCTTTGTATTTTATGACAGCCTAGTTATCCTGCTCAGTTTTCCTTACTTTGGCTTTGCCTGGTGTTTCCTCATTGTGAGATCAGGCTTATGCACCTGATAGGAGTTCCACCTGTGTGCCACAGAGCTCCTGTCAGCACATCATATCAAGAGGTGTATGCCATCCCACCGTCCCTTGTGGAGGATAGTAACTCCAATTAGGTTAAGTTGGTGTCTTCAGGTTCCCCCGTATGTTGAAGGTGTGGCTCTTTTCTGTGTGTCAACTTGATAGATGTTACCAACTTGTTTTATTTTATTTTATTTTTTTAAGAGAGAGTGAGAGAGAAAATTTTAATATTTATTTTTTAGTTTTCGGCGGACACAACATCTTTGTTTGTATGTGGTGCTGAGGATCGAACCCGGGCCGCACGCATGCCAGGCAAGCGCGCTACCGCTTGAGCCACATCCCCAGCCCCCCAACTTGTTTTAAATCCATTTTCTTTTATTGGACACTTTCTCTGAAAAATCCATTGCTGGCCTTCTTCCTAATATCCCTGTTACTGGGCTGCTTGCTGTTTTCAAACGTGCCTCCTCTCCACAGGCATGCCGGATGAACAGAGAGAGGGGCTCCAGGAAGAGCTCATTGACATCATCCTCCTCATCTTGGAGCGCAACCCTCAGCTGCACTACTACCAGGGCTACCATGACATAGTGATTACGTTTCTGCTGGTGGTAGGCGAGAGGCTGGCAACATCCCTGGTAGAAAAATTGTCTACCCACCACCTCAGGTACCCCTTCAGAGGGATATAACAGGAGGGTGTCACTCCTTAAGCCCAGCCCTCTCAGGATAATTCCTTAGTCCTTTTTTTCTTCCTTTGGGCACTGGGGATTGAACCCAGGGGTGCTTTGCCACTGAGCCACATCCCCAACTCCCTTTGTCATTTTCTTTTCAGTTTTTTCAGTGGTCACACCCTCCAGCCATGATATCTAAGTGCTTGATCTGACTAAGCTCATTGAATTGTCTCACTCTAGGGACTTCATGGATCCCACAATGGACAATACCAGGCACATTTTAAACTACCTGATGCCCATCATAGACCAGGTGAACCCAGAGCTCCATGACTTCATGCAGAGGTACGCGATGCCGCCTTCATGTGTGTACCATCCGTCTTGCCTTTGCTCTCCTGGCTCTTGTTTCTTCTTCACAGATCTTTTTCCATTTCCTCATATATTAGGTTGATTCATGTTAGTTGTCCCTTCCAGTCACCAGCAATCTGGATGATTCGGTTCTTTACATAGTCTTAGAGCCCTTTTTCRGGTCCTGGAATGCAAGGGGGAGATGACCCCTGGCTTGAGGAATTCACATCTGGTAGGGAGGAGGGGTGGCATCAGTTTACCAACTTAGACTTGCTCCAAGATGAAGTACGAGTTCTTGGAGATTGAGATAAAAGGACAAGGCCATCCATGAGTGATTTTATTTCCCAAGTTCCAAGGAGAAGAAAATTTTCTGTGCAGATATCAAAATTGTCTCAGAAAGAAAATYACAATATAGTTCTCTGAAAACACCTCCTTATTCCTATAGTTGATATCTGTCGCGCATTAGAAGAGCGCTTGGTGAGATAAGGCAGGCAGCATGCTGTTGTGGTATGAGTGTCATGCTGCAAATTTAAAACTTTGTATTTTTTGAGGAGAAAATGCTAAGTTCTCAGGTAGCTGGATTTAAAAAAAAAAAAAAGTGTATTTCCCAAATGCTTCCTTCTCACCAGCACTGAGGACAAAGAAGGCCCTGAGAGAGGGAAGGGGTGACATAACAGGGAACCTAACATTTGGATTTCCTTTGCTCCTAGTGCTGAGGTGGGGACCATCTTTGCTCTCAGCTGGCTCATCACCTGGTTTGGGCACGTCCTGTCTGACTTCAGGCACGTTGTGCGGTTATACGATTTCTTCCTGGCCTGCCATCCACTGATGCCCATTTACTTTGCAGCTGTGGTAGGTACCCAGCATGAGCAGCACCCAAGCTCTCCGCCACCCACCCTAGGTTGACCATCTTCCCTGCAGGGGTCTGGTGATCATGAAAACATGCAAGAGATGGCATTTCCTAGGCAGGTGTCCCTCTTCTGTGCAGTGTAAATGGGGGGTGTTATGAAAAACAGAAAAAAAATTACAGAGATTTCTATCCTGTAAGACTCTTCTGAACCTTTGAAGTGCCAGTGTGCATTGTGAATTGTCATTGTTCTGCTGATGCCTTCTGGAACTATGTTCACCTGATACCTCATAGAGAAGCAGTCTGCACAGCAGCTGTCAAAGGAGAGAGCTGGCCTCAGGCTATAGAATCGAGGTGGCTGGTGGTAGTGGTGAGGGCTGCACTTACTAGAAGGTGACGCACACCTGTAACCCTGATAAGTCAGGGGCTGACGCAGCAGGATCACAAGTTTGAGGCTAGTGGGAACAACTTAGCAAAATTCTGTCTGAAAATAAAGTTAAAAATTTTTTCAGAGCTGGGGATGTAGCTCAAGCGGTAGCGCGCTTGCCTGGCATGCGTGCGGCCCGGGTTCGATCCTCAGCACCACAAACAAACAAAGATGTTGTGTCCGCTGAAAACTAAAAAATAAATATTAAGATTCTCTCTCTCTCTCTCTCTCTCTCAAAAAAAAAAAAATTTTTTTTAAAAGGGATGGGGGGCTGGGGCAGAGTACTTGCCTAGCATGAGTGAGGCACTGGGTTCTATCTTCAGCACCACATAAAAATAAAAAACAAATAAAGGCATTATGTCTGTCTACAACTACAAAATTTAAAAAAAAAAAATAGGGATGTAACTCAGTGGTAGAGCACCCCTGAGTTCAATCCCTTGTATGGGGGGTGGGGGAAGCACAGGCCTGAGTAATTTGTAGAGGTGGGGACCCAGGAAGTTCTTCACAGATCCCTTCAACAGCAGTGGATTTGTGGGCCAGCAGTCAGAAGGAAGATGTTTAAAGAGAACAAGACGATTCCTTCTATGATTTTGAACCATTTCTTTGCTGAAGCTCCAAGAATCTCCCCATGATCCCTCTCCTTTTCTTCTTAAAATAATCGTCTTCATTTCTTTCAAGACTCTGAGAGACACTTGAGCAGACAAATGTGCCTGGAAGGACTTACTTTAATTTGTCAGTCTTTCACGTTATGAGTGGCAGTGCGCTCCTAGCAGGAAGGCCCAGCCCAGCTGGAACAGCACTGAAAGAATGTGCCTCATTCCTTCCTAGATGGATGCAAGAGCTTGCTGAGCAGCTGGGCTGGCTCTGTTTCCCGGTTTGAACTCATCTCTATAGAAACTGAGAGGCAGCTGGCCACGGCCCTGTGTGTCTGGTCCGTGATGCAAAGTCTTTCTTCCTACAGATTGTGTTGTATCGTGAGCAGGAAGTTCTGGACTGTGACTGTGACATGGCCTCGGTCCACCATTTGTTGTCCCAGATCCCTCAGGACCTGCCCTATGAGACGCTGATCAGCAGAGCAGGGGACCTCTTTGTTCAGTTTCCCCCTTCTGAACTCGCACGGGAGGCTGCTGCCCAGCAGCAGGCTGAGAGGTGAGCAGAGCGAGGCACTAGTAGAGTTGGGGCAGCTGTAAAGGGCAGAGGCAGGGGAGACTGTGGGGTGAGGACAGGGCAGGACAGTGGCCAGAGCCATTCTAGCCGAATCCCTTAGACTTCTCGGGTCTTTGTCCAAAAGAACTTTCTGGCTCTACCGCTCCTCTTCCTCTTCCTTCATACCAGTCCTTATTTCTGCCTCCTTCCTCTGCAGAACTGCAGCCTCTACCTTCAAAGACTTTGAGCTGGCATCAGCCCAACAGAGGCCAGATATGGTGCTGCGGCAGCGGTTTCGAGGACTTCTGCGACCTGAGACTCGAACAAAAGATGTTCTGACCAAACCAAGGACCAACCGCTTTGTGAAACTGGCAGTGATGGGGCTGACGGTGGCCCTGGGAGCAGCTGCTCTAGCAGTGGTGAAAAGTGCCCTGGAATGGGCCCCCAAGTTCCAGCTGCAGCTCTTCCCCTGAAGCCCGAGCCACTTCCTCTCACAGTGCACCCGGTCTCGCCCTTTCCCAGAAGGACTGAGAAGATGGAATTTCCTTGATTAAAAGGGTTTCTGTCGAGGGTGTTCTGTTCCTGCCACCCTCACCTGCCACGTTTGCCATGGCTTTGGAGGCCAGTCACAGAGCAAGCCTGACCTGCGGTGTCTTCCACGGACCTGAGAGTGTCTCTGCCACCTCCCCTCATGTTGGTGGAAGTGGGTTCTTTTGTTCCCAGCCATCGTGAGAACCTCAGGGCCTGGGCTTCCCTGGCTACCCAATAGAAAGTAAGCCAGACCCCAGTATGCCCTCCTTGCAGCTCCTGGGGTTCTGTCCACTTCAGATAGACGAGGAAGGAGACCTGCTGCTGAAGGAGTCGGGCCTTGGGTGAAAGTGAGGGACAGAGGACTCTCGTGTGGGAGCCCTTTTAAAAGCAGCTTCATTAGCTGGTCAGAAATCAGACACGAATGAGGTGACTGGTGAAATCCTACCTATTTTCAGCCTAGAAATCACGTGGGTACTTCCAGTCCAGCAGGAGAGAATATTACCTAGACTGGTTTGCCTGCCTTTTTATTTCTTCCTGTTCTCTTCTACAAGCCACATGACATTACTTATAAAAGACACTTTTATTACTATTTTTAGAATTATATACTCCTAACATGTAAAGTACTTTCACTTTAAAAAGAACCGTTCCTTCATGGAAAAAAATAGTTCTCATCAGAAGGATGAGCTTGTACAACCCTGAAGTTTACTTTCTACTCAACTGCGTAACATTTCACTTCAGCCAGAGCTGCCATTTGTGGAGAGCCCCCCACTTCCAACCCACTTTGCTTCCTTCCTATTCCCCACAGACCAGCCTTCCACTCCCAGCAAGGCGCCCACTCGCATCGTCTGGGCTTGATATAGCAGAGCCCCTGGTGTCTGCCTAGTGGGAAATGGTGGAAACTTGCTGGTACCAGAAAGGGACAAACTAGCATGAAGAGCATGGCAGGGCCTAGAGCAGCCAGTCCCGCCCCAGGCTTCTCAGAGGCCCCCCAGGCCTTGGGAAGAAGGGGGGATCCCACAGTCCTCCTGGGCAGCTTTCTGTGAGTGAAGCCAGGTTTGTACATTAACTCGAGTTTGGGGGGGGAAAAGTGCCTTTTGCTGCTTTAAAAATTGGAGTGCATTGTGTGGAGCAGCTGTGTACTTTTATTTTCCTGGTCTCCCAGCTGGTGATTTCCTTAAGTGAACCGGTCAGAAGCACTCTGCCCTCCTGAATGCCCACCATGTGCAGGGTGGGTGGTCAGCAGGCTTCCCGCCAGCATGCTGTAGAGTTCTGAGTTACACTGAGCACTTTAACCAAAACATCTCAAAGCATGGTGAGTCGTGCACAGCAGGAGGCACGTAGAGTGAATGTGCTGCAGATGGATTAATCTAGAAAGTGGTGGGATCATTAGGACAAATGAAAATTCTTCCAGGATCCAGAGACAAGAGATGGCAAATATTCCATCTTCTCCTGTGCCAAGTTTGTCCTCTTGCCATCTTTACAAATGGCAACAGCTCTGTGCCTCTAGCCGCAGCAAGCAAACCTGTTTGTAAACCCAGCGATGGCAAGAGGTGGAGGAGCTGCTGACGACTCAAGGCCACAACTCTGGATCCCAGGAAGCAAGCGATGTTTGCCTGTGCTGTGGCCTAAGGAGAAAGTGTGCACTGTAGCTTTGCTCACACCAGGATTCTCCCTAGCCACTGAGGAGAAAGCATTATCTATTTACCTTCAGGTGACTTATTTATTCTGTAAAGAATATGTGTAAATATTTTGTACAGAGAGCCCTGTATGAAATAAACAGCCATATGTGGTTACTAATTATGTCTGTCATTTGTCCACACCCTCCTAGGCTACTCTTGAGTTACACCCCAGCCCTTTTTACTTTTGGGAACAAGACCTCAAAACTGTAGTCCTCCTGCCTCAGCCTCCATGCCTGACTCTTCAGCAGAATTTTGATAAGTGGAGAGTTGAAGAAAGGGTGTGTGTGGTATAAGTTATTTGGTCTTTGTGCAGGTTCCTGACCCAGGGTTCCTGCAACCCTTGGAATTGCCAAGGAGTGGATGATTCAGGAATGTCTGTCATTTTTAATAAACTCACCTTAGTTCATGCTAACCAGGTGACTTAAGTGAGACTCCTAAATGGCCTCATGACAAGGCTGGTCACTGGAAACACCAAGTGATTACATTGACCTAGGGGTTGGAGGGGGGAGTTCTATGAAAAACCAAATGAGGTTCTGTGAGCTGCCTGGCCGGTGAGTACATGGATATGCAGGGGTCGTGACTGCACATGACCGCAGGGACATGGAGGCTCACCCCCCATCTTGTTCTGGTCACCTCCTCTAGCTGCAGGTCACTGAGTCCAGTGTTTCCTGTGAACATTAGTGAGCCCAAGGGGGAGAGGTCATGGAATTCCCAAATTCATATCTGGCCAGGCAGAAGTGTGGGTCACTGGGCACCCCATCTGTGCTGGCATCTGAAGTGCAGGCAGTCTCTGGGCTGAGCCTTCTAACTGTGGGACCTGATGCGAACTCCAGAGAGTGGGAGAACTGGTTACTGGACACCCAGTTGACTTCAGAAAACCCCACCCAATGTGCAAGGCCAAGGAGGGAGTAGCCAGGGCACAACAAAGCTGACCATGAAGCGTGGGGGTTGTGGGGAGGGGGAAGCCCAGGCCTGGGGCTGGGTCTGTGGAGAGAGGTCATGGCAGTCTGAAAGGCACCTGCAGGCTGGGCTGGAGCCAGCTCTGCCTGATCCTCCCCCAGGGCTGGGGAGGCTGCCAGCCACCGCCAGCCAGTCAGTGACCTGCACCCACACCGGCAAGCCAAGGGCACTTACCCACCCATGTTCTCTGGTGTCTGCTCACTGCCTGGGGTCACCTTTTGCTCTGGGCATCCAGACAGGGTGGCAGTGCCTATTCAAGGGCTGGAACAAACCCTTCCCCCAACATCCTCAGGCCCAGCATCTAAGCCTGGAGTCAGGCCCGGAGCAGCAGAGGCACCCCCTGCCTGCCCTCGTGATCACATTTGTGGCAGAGACTCTGCTTTGGGCATTAATAACCAGCTCTCAATAGGGGATGGGTCACAGCTTGGAGGAGAATGCACAAAATGGACGTCCCCGGACCCTGCTTTTATTAATATGACCAGCAGAGTGGGTACTAATGAATATCAAGGTCAATACTTTGCCATCTTGCCTGAGACATTAAAATTAGGATGGACAAGCTGAGCACAGTGGCACACGCCCATCACCCCAGCCACTCAAGAAATTGAGGCAGGGGGATCACAAGTTCAGGGTCAGCCTCAGCAGCTAGAGATGAAGTTCAATGGCAAACTGCCCCTGGGCTAGAAGCCTCAGTACCAAAAAATAAATTTAGGATGGACAACCTCACCCCTCCAGCACAGCAGTCTTATCTGTTCTGAGATCTCTGCTCCCCACTGCTGGCTCCCCACTGAGAGGTCAAGGGGGACCAGCAAGACTCCCCAGCCGGCCTCAGCCTCCCTCCCCCAAAGGTCCCCCGTGGCCCACTGTGTCCTTGGGCACAGAGATGCCAGCTCTGGTACAGGGACCCAGCACTGAGTCACAGCCTCCTCTTACCACTGAAAAGGGCTGACAGATTACCTTCTTGATGTCATTCCCAGAGGCCTCAGGGACCCTGGCCCATGACACTCCCTCTCAAGGACAGGACAACGCACCCTTCCTGGAAAAGCATTTTAATCTGCTCATGCAGGCAACAGAGGGAGATGGTGGAGGTCAGACCCGAGGGCGGGCTCTCAGCTGGCCCAGTCTCAGCAGCTCCGAACCTCCAACAGCAAAGGGAGAACAAATTCACCCCAGAAAGCCAACGTGGAGGGGCGAGCTGTGGCTAGCTGGTGACCTGCAGGCGAGGAGTGGGGGTGCCGGTGGCTCACAGAGCCCCTTCCAGAAGGTCTGGGCTGCAGGGACGAGGCGAGGGATGGGCCGAAAGCCCGCAGGAAGAGGATAAAGGCACTGGGCACAGGTGACCCAACAGCGGGCTCAGGTGGGCCTCTACACCACCTGTCGCAAACAGGCCATCCCCACAGGGCCTCTGCCTTGGCCAAAGCACAAAACGGTCTTTCAGCCCAGAAATCAGAGCCAAGTTCCGAGCCCAGCCCTGCCCACAACTGCCTCCGGATGTGGGGCTGGGTCAGCTGGAGCCCCGCCATCTTGGGTTCAGTGGCAGTTCTGACAGCTTGGGTGGCAAGGAATCCCATTCACACGGCAGCGGCAGCCCCCGCTGGTGTCTCCGGGGCCCTAGAGGACAGAGGGAAGCGTCCTTGAACAGGGAGGAAGGACAGCCTGCCTGTGCTGCTCCCTCAGACCCACCTGAGCACACCTGCCACTCGGGCCCTCGTCCCCGCAGGTCCTCCTGAGCGGCCCTCCTGGCTAGGCCACCTGGTAGAGGCGGTCACGCAGCTCCCCTATTACGAGAGTCGGGTCCATCTGCCGCAGACCCAGGGTGGGAAAGGCTCGGACAGTACAGCACATCCGGGTGGGCAGCGCTGGTGCCAGAGCGGGCAGACCCCTCCATTTCGTCTGTCTCCTGTGTGCCACAGGAGCCCCAACTCCAGGAACACCCCCAGTGAGGACAGCTGACTTCAGCAAAGAGCTCCCAGGGGATGCTCTACCTAGCAAATGCCTTTGTCATTTGATTCTGACAAGCCTGAGGCTCCACGGTTGTCCCAGGGGAGGAAGCTGAGCCTCAGAGAAGTGCCCAGTGTGGGGGGCCAGGGAGGAGCTGCCCGACTCCTGACTGCACTTTCCCACTGTCCTCTGCAACAGGGAGGAAGAAGGTTCCTGTAAAGGCCGATGTTGGGCACTGGCAGCCATATAGTTAGCCCCTGGGGTACCAAAGCAGCCAGAGACCGGAGGCCAGGACAAGATTGTGGCTGGCCTCGGACAGAACTGTACTGAGGACACTGAAATCTGGATTTCACCTAATTTTCTGTTTTCTGCAGAGTGATCAGGGCTGAACCCAAGGCCTCACATATACTAGGCAAGCACCTACCACTGAGGTACACCCCCAGCCTAGATTTCATATCTTTTTCACCTGTCATGAAATACTGCGCGCTTTCAATACTGTTTGCACCATTTAAAGATGTAGCTGGGCTCAGTGGCACACGCCTATAACTCTAGTGACTCAGGAGGCTGAGGCAGGAGGATCCCAAGTTCAAGGCCAGACTCAGCAATTTAATGAGAGTTTTAGAACTTAGTGAGACCCTGTCTCACAATAAAAAATAAAAAGGGCTGAAGATGTAGCTCAGTGGTTAAGCACCCCTGGGTTTAATCCCCAGTAACAATAAATAAATATTTTTAAAATAAAAATAAATGGGCTGGGGTTGTAGCTCAGTGGTAGAGTGCTTGCCTCGAAAGCGTGAGGCCCTGGATTCGGTCCCCAGCACCACGTAAAAAAAAGAATTATAAAGATATTGTGTCCAACTACAACTAAAAAAAATTTTTTAAATAAATAAATAAATAAATAAATAAATAAAAATGATTGAAAAATAAAAATGTAAAAAGCTACTGTCATGTGTAACTAATTAGAACAAAATTTTTTAATTTTTTTTTTAAAGTGTAAAAAGCAAGGTGCAGTCGCACATGCCTGTAATCCCAGCAATGCAGGAGGCTGAGGTGGGAGAATCATAAGTTCGAGGTCAGCCTCAGCAACTTAGTGAGACCCTCTCTAAACAAATAATAAGGGCTACAGATGTAGCTTCCTGGTAAAGAGCCCCAAGGTTCAAAACCGGGTACCAAAAAAATAAAAATGGTCTGGGTGTGTGCTCAATGGTAGCGCACACCTGCCTGTGTTCAGTTAAAAAAAAAAAAGATGTTAAAAAACCCTCTCCTGGGCCGGGCTGGGGCTCGGTGGCAGAGCACTTGTCTAGCATGTGGGGCTTGGCACAGTCCCCAGGCTATCGTTTTTCCAAGCCCCTCTCCCAGGCAAGCCCCACTCTCCCCACCCCACCCCCAAGCCTTCTGCTCCTTGGACAACTCACCCCAGGGCCCCACCGCGGGCCCTTGGTGACCCAGCAGATCTCGGTGTGGCAGACGGTGCAGCGGATCCAGTCGCACCCATCCTTCTTCTGCACCACAATATGGCACTGGGGGCAGTGCATGGCCTCGCCCTGCTGCAGCAGCACCTGGAGCAGAGGGTGAGTGGGCGGGGCCTGCCGCCTGCCCCGCCCACCCCTGGATGCTTCCAGCGCCCTCCCAGAACTTCTCTAACCTCCTTTGTCACAGAGGTCCCCTGCCTCCACCCAGACCCTGCTCCTGCTGCTCACCACCTGACTCTGGGCCTAAGGCCCATCCCGGGATGGGAGTTGACAGAAGGGAGCTCTGCACCTCCAGGGATCTGTGAACTCAGCTCTGAGAAGCCCCCAGAGCAGAAATCAGCCCGACCCTGGCTCACCCTCAGCATCTCCGTGGTCTGCCGGGCTGCCACGTCATTCTGAGCGCGCAAGGCCAAGTCGTCCTGATACTCCCTGCAGTTCATGCGCTCGTGGATGGCCTGCGGGGGGGGGGGGGGGGGGGGGGGGGGGGGGGCAGGAGACAGAGTTCCCGGGGCTTCAGACTGGAAGCACTACTTCGGCACAACCAGAGAAGGTCCCTCGGTCTCTGCTTGGTTCTGACCCCACCAGAGGTCCACTGCTTGGAGACCCAGTTTGCCAAGCCTGAGTCTGGGCCCGGGCTCTGCCTGTCTACCTGCTCATCACTTTAATGGGCAACTTTTGAAGGCATTGGGATGTGCCTGGGGAAGGATGGGGCAGGGTTGGGTGGGTCTCAGTGTCTGGCTTAGCATGGGACCAGTTAA